TAAATCTTATTTGTGAAATGGTTACAAATTGTGCATGGAGTCAAAGCAATTTTGTGAACTTCTTAAACCTAAGAAAGAGGTCATATTAATCTGTATTTTCAGCAGGGTTGTTACCTTATAATTAGGCCATTTCATCCAAGGCAGAGAAAAAAAGGTATTATTCAGTATTTTACCATCATTTTTGAGAGAATATATTTGCAAAATGTCAATGATTCTGTTAATGGGCACTCATCCCCAAATTCACTGCAGTAACTAGCATTGGACAAGAAATGAAGAGTACAAAAGAAGTCATTTAAATAACACAAACATTTCCTTCATTATTACACTCATGAAAATGGAAATCAAGGAAAGAAATGGTCCAATGGCTAACCTTTGTGGATTGAATGACTAAGATACAAATACTTTATGCCCTTTTTCAAATGTCATATTGGCACTTTATACCTTTCTGAAAAATGTAAAGACACTGTGCAGTAGACTTACGGTTCAATATAAGAACATTTAGGCTTCTCTGTAGCATATGCAAGATGATTTGCACAGGCTTAGGGAAATTTGGTCTGTCTGGGATAAAGATCATTATTATTCACCTGGTAACTAATAATTGAGTTTGGTGTACAAAATATGTTTGGGAATAAAAATGCCTTATAAATATCAAATGTATTCTGCAGTAATATTGTATTTATCAATTATATGCATTTTATATAATAAATGCTATTTTCCTTTCAGCTTTTAAAATCTCTAACCACAGAGTTTTATATATATATATGTGTGTGTGTGTGTGTATATATATACATATATACATAAATATTTTTCTTAAATTCAAGATATTATACATATATATTTCAATTAATCAAATATTTATTGTGCATCTCCTTGATCCTTACATAATACTAGAAACTTGAGATATGGTTTTGAACAAAACAGAAACAACTTCATATTTTCTCAAACATAGGACCGGTCAAGATTAACTATAGAGTGTTTATGGGAAAAGATAACTTTCATTCTTACTTTGATTTGGTCAGAATATGATTTAAAATTAGGAACTACAACAGAAGTTACCTTATAAATGTTGTTTGCAAATTCCACGGAACTTTTCCAATTAAATCTAATAATTATTTCATTGAGTAACTACTGCTCTGGGTTTGATACTATAGATACAGCACTGAAAAGTATTTTTTGCCTTTATGCAGCTTAGTGTAATTTTGTTTCAGTTACAAATAATGTGCTACATATAAGTTAAATTCAAAATATTGGAAGGTAGTGTGGATTACAATTTACTCTACAAAAAGATTCATGACATCTTTTACTTGAGTTGCATGTGTTAATCTAGTCGGAAACATTTGAGACACAAACATATTTAAGTGTTTACTGGAAATTTTCAGTAATGAAATGATACTTTTTTCATAGATGTCATGTCTAATATATCTTACTACATTTAACCATGACATTTATCAAAAAGAGACAGTTCTGTTTTGTCAACTTGCCAGAAATATTTGTATATAATATGATAAGAAAACTCATAGCTTTTTTCTACCAATTGATTAAATGGCCAAGAATCTATCTGTGTCTCTCTCACTTTACTCTGGTATATTTTCTGCAGTGGAAGTAAAATACAATGAAATGAGATGCTTTGAGCTCATTCACATATTCAACATTTTGTTTAGTTTCTGTATTCATTCAGACATTTTGCATATATGTTTGAATATCAATTAAATGTGTACCTCATTTGCCTATCTTTCTTAACATTTATTTGTTACTTTATTTCATGTTAGTGGGAGGGAAACTGTTGGTGTAACACAGGTGATTTCTTCCAATAAATCTTTGATAAAACCTGTGGAACTCATGGTTATTCTTGTGTGTTACCACAAGATCTAAATATAACCAGAAATTTTTTAACTCTTATTAGATAAACATCTAACCAAGCTTTTCTCTTTTCCTAATCCTTGTCCCTCTTTCTTATCTAAAAAATACAGTCGAGCCTCTGTAGTCAACCAAGACAGAAACATTAGGTATTCATTCTAACAAGTAAATAATTTGTGTCTCTAAGACCTTTCTTACAGGTTAGTATCTATTCTCTAGAGTTTTCTTAGTCCAGAAATATATTTTCTACCTGAATATATTTTCTCACAAAAATATATCAAATGTATATTTTAAAATGTAAAGTTATAAAATCAATGAAAACTTTAAGACTATATATAAATGCTATTAGAAGATTACTTCCTGACACATATTTAGGTAATCAAGTTAAGAAAAAGAAAGTGTAAGATTGCATGTTAAAACTGTCCTATAAGTGTCAATAAAATTCTACATTCTCTGACTGTGAGGTTTTGACATTCAACAGCAGGATAGGGTTTATACAAAACATAAAGGAAAAAGGTATTTTCAGGGAAAACAATATATAAATAAACTACCCATGATTAATTGCTAAACATTTATAAATCTTCCTACCAGAATTGCTAGCAGATGCTGAGTTTTGAATTAGGGATGATGAAAGTATCATCTGGATTGATCATGTGTCTTAATTTCAAATTTTAACATGTAAGATTATGCTGGATTTATTATTGCCTCCTTTCTAAATCCCTTTTCCAAGTATAAGCCAAGCTCTTGAGCAGACTATTTCTAAGAAACAAATGTCAACATTCATAGCAGATTAATATTGTTGAAGAATGGGATTTGATAAGACTATTATTCAGTATAATATAATCTGATTCTATTTAAAAAATTTTAGATAGGAAGTTGGAGATGGATACTGTGTTCCTTTGTATGAACTATTTGAAATGCAGTGTGACTCCTGAAAAATACACACTCTTTCTGCAATGTTTGAGCTATTACCTTTTCACTTTTTTTTTTAAGTAGAACTTTTTAAATGTAGACTGAAAAATAACCTTCATTTCCTGGATAGCAGTCAAAAATCTCCTTTCTTTGTCACCTAATGGAGAATTATTCCCAGAGCAGAAGAGCATCACCTAATGTCTCATGAGAAAGCTATTAGTATGAGATTGTCACATTTCTTAGATAAAAACTTAATGCCAAACATTAATGTAGAAATCCATTTCACAATCTTTCTTATGTCTTACATCTCCCTTTTGCTTTGATGAAGGTTGTATGGTTAGGTCATAAAAAATAATGAACTGGGTTTTAGAAGTAGAAAGATGATCTAATTTCTTTTTCCTCACTGAAGAAATGGAACGAATAGTCAGTGAAACAACTGATGATGAAAATGGGAGTGATTTTAAATGTAGAAAGAACTGGAATATCAAAATTAATCTAGAGGATTTCGTACATACAATGCAGTAAGACGCTTGGGATGTGACCACCAGTCCACAAATAACCCTCTTGTGGTGCCACACATTCCTTTAGTTTATTTATCTCTCTTTAATTTAAGATGACTCCTACAAATTTAGCTTGGGGTTCCACACAAGAGAGATGAATTTCTCAAGGCTACCAAGGGAGGCAGTGTTGTTTGCTTTCCCAATATCCATGTTCCTCTTCTTCCTCACTAACACTCCTGCTGGTCTGGGTTTTATCCCAGTAGCAATATCTCCACCTAAATAGTGGCTTATTCAATCTCTGTTGTGGTAGAGGTAGCCATGGGATATGGGTCTGGCCAATGAAATGCAGACATAATCCTTGAGGAGAGCATTTCTTCCCAAATAAAAAGTCACAGCTTCCCTAGGAGGAAATCTCTTGCTTGCTCTTCTAACTTCATCCTGCCTGCAATTCAGAAAGACTGCAGTTCAGTTTTTGGATGTAGCAGCCATCTTGTGCCTGAAGTGAATAAAACTGACACACTACAGATGGCAGAAAGGTAATGGGTACTGTGGATCAGCTCAACTAATATCTGCACCTGCCTCCTACAGGCTTCTTATATGGAAAAAAAAAATCCCCTATTTCTATAAACTGTTAACTGGATTTTTACTACTTGTAGTTGAACACTTTATGGACTGATGCATGATTTCTCTTAAATTGCTTTTGTATTGAACAAGAGGGGAAAATGTGGTACATATTGGGCAGGAAGGTGCTACGTGTATTTCTAGCTAATTTCTTAAATTAATAAGGATAATATTTTCCAAGGATGTATCTCAGTTTTTATTTTCCTGGATAACTTAAAGATGTCTGAAAGAGAATTCATTTCTGTGGTCAGTCATTGTTTGTGGAAGACAAATTAGCTAATCAAGGCCAGTGTTGTGAAATAAAGAATCAAGTATAAATTGGCTTTGGTGCATGTTATCCCACAGCTATATCCTTATTCCAGTGAACCACAGGATTTGCTATATCTTGCTTGTGTTGTTAAAGAATAATTGACAATCCTATCAATTTCACTTGAGATGACAACATTTTTGTGATTGAGACATTAATTTTAGCTTCCACTTTGTGCTAATTACTTACCTACTGACTGCAGTCAATGTCACATTGACTGAAACAATCTCTTTAAGGATAATTTGTCAATTGATGCCAAAAATATTAAAAATATCCACAGTCTATCACCTTGGAATGTCGTGTGTGGAAATTTGCTTTAAAGACTAATCAGAGATAAATAGTTAAACTAACAACAACAGGGGATTGGTTAGATAATTACTATTTAATTTATACTGTGACATATCCTATTCTTATTAAAATAATACAGAGTAGTAATTACCATTAAATACTCATTATATGATATTAAACAAAACAAGCAGGTTATAAAATATTGTATAAATTATTGTTTCGATTCCAGGGAAGAAAACTGGCAATAGACTTATAACATTTATACCAAAATGTTAGGAGTGTTACTCTCAGAGTGTACGAATATGAGTGGTGGTTTTCACTTTTGTAATTTTCAATCTTTTCAAATTCCTGCAATCAATGTATATTATTCAGTGAAAGATATTTTTAAAGATATCTTGGCTATTATCACCATGGCTTTAACACTGAAAATAGTGAAGAGCAAATAGTTTTTGTTGATTGCCTTTTCATTAACAAGCAGTTTGACAACAAATTTGTTTCTCTGTTTTTTAATACAGAAATCCTAAATGGTGGAGTCTATGTAGACCAGAACAAATTCCTTTGTTATGCAGACACCATTCACTGGCAAGATATTGTTCGGAATCCTTGGCCTTCCAACTTGACTCTTGTGTCAACAAATGGTAGTTCAGGATGTGAGTAGCATTATTCTTTTTAATGTCTCAAAATGTTGTTCTACCCTATGTGGAGGTGAATGAGTTATGCTTATGCCGTTACTAATATTTTGAACTTCGATTGCATTCATTGAAATGTTCAGTCATATATGACAGCACAAATGGCTGACCAATCTTTTACTTCTAGTTAATTCTGTTTTTGAAATCATGTTTCCTCTTTACAAATTCTCATTTTGTTAACATGTTTCTCTTTGCTTCATTTAAATTACTTCATCATTCTCCCAGTGTCCAAACATGTCACCTATCCACAAACTTAAGGCTGGTATCTATTGCTTCAAGTCTCTATATACCTATATACCATTGAGACGAAGGTAATAGAACAAAAATGGACCTTCCTAGTCACTGTTATTTTTTAAATTAAAAAGTAAAACCTAGTGAATGTTGCAGAATTCTTAGGCCTTCATTTGTCCCTGAAGTCTTCATGGTCATACTTTATGATAATTTGAAACACTTATGGAATGGAGAAATACAGATTTCATGTAGAAGAAACATGTTACAGTCTGATTTTAGTAATTAGTCTAATAAACTACTGAATTTCCCATTCTTAAAATGGGTATTCTTTCTACCACAAAGAATTTATCAGATTTAAAGTGTTTAATATGATTAAATAATAAGCAAATAATATTTGAACTATGATTTAAACCTTTGAAAATTATTCTGCCTGGTATCTGTTTCATTTTCATAAAACAGGCTATGGTGTTCCCACATTTATTATTACCAACATTTGTATGAGAACAGAATCTTTATCAAGAGTTAACCTGGGTTTTATATTTCTCATCTATTACATATTTCCCACCTGAAATCATAACTGTCTCAACATAGTTCAATAATTATTTGCTATATTACTGATTGTGTTATGACATTTTTGTGGAAAATCAAACTCCATGGGACAATTATTAAATTTCATCATGGCCCTAATAATATACTGGGGAAATATGAATATATTTTATCAAAACTGACAGCTGTGTTTTTAATAAATGGCTAAAACTTTATGTAAAAAGTAGAGTAACATAATTTTCTTGTCACCTTTGAGCAGAAATTTGCATGGAATTTTGTCTTTATCGTATTCACGTTGCCTACTTTGTAAAATTACATGTGAAAAAGATGGAATCTGTTCACATTAACAAGACAAACGATGTGTTTCAGAAATGGCTGCTATTTTCAGTCTGTCCATACTACTGCACATATTATATTGTCGGGGTGGAGGAGGGGTGGATATTGGTTGGGTAAAAGGAAAGTCCTGCTGACTCTCATCAGATTGACTAGCCTGTAATGCTTGAATAAGATCAGGCAAGAGTAAAGCCTGAGACAGAAGCCAAAAGGGAAGTGTGCCCACCAGCCTTACAGAATTTGGAGCAGGAAAGGTCTGAGGGGTTTGTTGCACTTTCACAGATGGTGTCTCTTTGTGCTATTCTTTTGAAGACAAATTTGGATGGTTGTGCCTACAATTAGGCAACTGTGGATGTATTGTTTTTTGCATGTAAATAATTGCAGGTGCAAAAATTATAAATGCAGAGTAGAGTCATAACCAATGGACTTTTACAAATTAACTACCAATTAATTGCCAAAGTTTTATTATTTACATAGTAGTTTTATTTGCTGACACGTTGCATGACACCATACTAATAATGAATTGTCTATTATTTGACTGTTAGTTTCCTATGGTTGTATCTTTAGTCAATTTAGTTCCTTGTCTTCTCCCCAGAGTTTATCTCAAACACTTTCAGGGTTTTAAATGCAACCTCTAGGTTGATGACTCCCCAGAACTGCATACCACCAACCAATCACTCAAGTTAAAAATTTGGGGGGTCATTATTATCTTTACTTTCTTGTCTCTTGGCAGTTAGTTAATCATGAAGTCATCCTGATTCTTGCCTGTTTCTTGATTTTACATATTTATTATTGTGATTGGCCTAGTTTAAGACTTCATCTGTGTCTAAATTACTAAAACAAACTCTAAATTTTTAATATTTTTGAGGCAATGAACACTGTAGTAGCCTGGTGAAGCCCAGTGATCTCTTTTCACAATATTTTTAGAAGAATAAATGGGCACAAAATAAATATTGAATTCATGAATGCATAGCAATCAATAAATACATATAATAAATTACAATGGATTACAAGGAAAATAAATTAGATTGAGGTACATTTATCAAACTGCTTAAGAAACAAATACCTAATACGCTCTTTCTTAGTACATTAAATTAAAAATACTAGCAGTAGGATTAATATATAATGTAATTCTCAAGCAGTGATAGGCATAAATAATATATTTTAAAGGGACGTCTCTTCAACAAATGATGTTGGGAAAATTAGATACCCATGTGCCAAAGATTGAACTTGGGCCCTTATCATATGCCATGTTCAAAAATTAACTCAAAAGCTAATTACAGACCTAAGCACAAAACTGAAAACTATAAAAGTCTTGGCAGAAAATATAGGGGAAAGCTTTATAACCTTAGATTTAGCAATAAATTCATGGATATAACGCCAAAAACACCACCAGCAAAAGCTAAAATAGACAAATGAGATAGTATCAAACTTAAAAACATCTGTGCATCAAAAGGTACAATCAACAGAATGAAAGACAACTTATAGAATGGGAGAAAATGTTTGTAAAGCATATATCCGATAAGGAATTGATATCCAGAAAAAAAAAATATATATATATATAAAACCTACAACTCAATTACATGAAGCAAGTAGCCCTATTAAAAAGTGAGCAAAAGATTTGTATAGACATTTCTAAAGATGATATGCAAATGGACAAAAAGCATGACCAGAAATGCTCAACATTACTAATCATTAGAGAAAAACCAAACCAAAAATCATGTCAAAACCACAATGAAATATTGTCTCCAACTTATTAGGATGGCTAATATAAAAAAAGAAAATAACAAATGCTGGTGAGGAGGTGAGGAGGTGAAGAAATTGGCATCCTTCTTTGTGGGATTGTAAAATGTGTGACCACTATGGAAAACAGTCTGGTGATTTCTCAAAAATTAAATATTATCATATGATCCAGCAATCCCACTTTTGGATATATAACCAAAGGAATTGAATGCAGGTTCTCAAAGAGATATTTGCATATCTATGCTCACAGCAGCATTATTCATAATAACTGAGAGATGGAAGCAACCCAAATGTCATTGGTGGATGAATGGATAAACAAAATGTGGTACATACATATAACGATAAAATATTATTCAGTTTGAAAAAGGAAGGAAATCTAGCCATATGCTACAACACAAATAAATCTTGAGGACACTACGCTAAAGAAAATAAGCCAGTCACAAAAACACAAATGTTGTATGATTTCACTTACATAAGGTAACTAAACTGTCACACTCAGAAAACAGAATGTAGAATGGTAGTTTCCAGGGGTTGAAAGTAAGGCTAAATAGGCAATTGATCTTTAACAAGTATAGTTTCAACTGTGCAAGATTGAAAAATTTCTGGAGATCTGTTGGAAAACAACGTGAACATACCTAACATTACAAAACACACACTTAAAAGTGGTTAAGATAGTAAATATTATGTCATCTTTTTTTACTGCATTTGTGAATAAATAATAGTATTTAAGATGGCTGTTAACACCTGGAAGGTAACCCCAATATATCTATGGTTTCTATTGGTTAGCGTGGCTAGTATTGCTAATACTACTGTGGTATGGTCCTGATATTTGTAATTGATGATAATGATTAACTTTAATAAAAGAGTTAATTAGAATATCAATGTAATGATTTCCCATTCAAATTCAAGGACCTCCTAAATTTTATCTACAGGCTTTTTAGGAATCCATAGCCCCCCAGTTAAGAGCCTGTGTATTTAATTACTCTCCTTGCTTCCAGTCCCAACAAATTTACCCAACAAAATGCCTACAAGAGCTCTGTTTAATGGAATTTAACCAGGACACTGTCTAAAAATCTTGCCACTGACTAACTAATATAGGATCAAATCTGAACAAAATCCAGTTGGCTTGGAGTTTTCAGCAAATTCCTGCCTATTTCTCAACTCTGTGGATTGAGTTCTTACAATTTCTTTGTTTGCACTGCCTTTTCTCTTCTGTTTTCCAGACTGAATTTCAGTTATGCTTTAAGACATTTATCAGGTGTCAACTCTTTTAATAGGTGGTCTCTTCTTCAAGCTAGATTAGGTAACATTTCCCATGTGACCCCATAATGACTGGAGTTGAAACTTGGCATTCTGTCTTACACTTTAAAATGGAAACTCCTCGTAGACAAGGTCCAGTTCATCATTCTGTCCTCTGTTGTAGCATGTAATAGACGGATAACAGATATTCACTGAATGGATAGATATATAAATGAAATAGATAAATTTATGTCTTAGCCTGTTAGAGCTGCATAATGGAATGCCTAAGACTCAATAAATTATGAAGAACAGAAAAGTATTTTCTCGTAGTTCTGGAGGCTGAGAAGTACAAGATCAAGGTGCTGGCATCTGGTCTGTTTCATAAAGGCCTGGTCTCTGCTTCCATGATGACACCTTGTATGCTGCATCTTCTGGAGAGCAGAAGAAAGGAAGAGAATAAACCCACCCCTACAAGCTCTTCTTATAGCAGTATTAATATATTCATGACCTAAACACTTCCCATTAGGCCTCCCACCCAATACTGTTTCATTAGGGATTAAGTTTCAATATGAGTTTGGGAGGAGACAAAAGCATTCAAACCCTAGCAGTTTATTTATTTATTTTTTTTTAAATTTATTTATTTATTTATTTTTTTTTTGAGACGGAGTTTCGCTCTTGTTACCCAGGCTGGAGTGCAATGGCGCGATCTCGGCTCACCGCAACCTCCGCCTCCTGGGTTCAGGCAATTCTCCTGCCTCAGCCTCCTGAGTAGCTGGGATTACAGGCACGCGCCACCATGCCCAGCTAATGTTTTGTATTTTTAGTAGAGACGGGGTTTCACCATGTTGACCAGGATGGTCTCGATCTCT